AAAAAAAAAAAAAAAGAAAATCTTTCATATTATATATAAATGCAAATATATCTACACTTTGAAGCACATTAAATAACATTTTAAAAGAAATTTTTCCAACCTCAATTCCCAATATATATTGTATATATACTTGGAGACATTAAAACATTTATTAAAACATTTATGAATACAACAGAAAGAAGCATTAAAAAATGATAGATGGGTTAAGGCCATATCTCATTCTAATAATAGCCATGTTATTTATTTCCCATTTTTCTCTCCTCTGCTGAAAGCCTTACCTTGTATATACTAACAAAAGAGCCCAGAAAAGCTCCGAGCTGGAAGTTTTCTTTATTGTAGAAGAGAGAAAATAGCCGGGATGGCTGTGTAAACAGATGCCGAAATGCAGAGGGAATTCGGAGGCAGCACTGGATCAAGTATCCCACGCTAAACATTCTGATGAAACCCTAGAGAAAATTGGGATAAAATTCTGATTTACATCCAAATATTTAAGTCCGACAGATATAAATTTTACTGGTTTAGAATCAAAACAGAACTCAAAAATAAATAAATAAATAACACAAGTTTATATCAAAGCATTTTCAAAATTAAGTCCTAAGACCTCAAATAATTTTAAAACAATTACCTTCAAATAAGGGTAAAATTTTTCAGTGATTATACTTTCTTTGATTTTCAAAACCTTGGAAGTCTCACAAGCACTGGCCAAACCTGTCTATGCAACAAACTTCCATTTCTTGACATTCTGTTAACAATAACCAGGATTTATGATTCCTAAACCACAACTGAATTTTAGGAACAAAAGCAATGAAATTCCAAAAAAATAGTTTACAAAACCAATGTGTTTTGGAAATTTTAACAGGGTACTTTTCTTTTTTTTCTTTTTTTATGTTTATTTATTTTTGAGAAACATAGAGTGTGAGTGGGGGAGGGGCAGAGAGAGAGGGAAACAGAATCTGAAGCAGGCTCCAGACTCTGAACTGGCATCACAGAGTCCCATGTGGGGCTCAAACTCACGAACCACGAAATCATGACCTGAGCCGAAGTCAGACACTTACTTAACTGACTGACACACCCAGGCGCCCCAAGAGTGTACTCTTCTTAATAACTGGTGTAAGTAGGAATTCTTTTGACAGAAAAAAATAACTTTATTTTTAGACCTTTGGTATCAACTTTTTAAATGATCAGGTTAAAAGAATTTTCCAGAAAAAAAAATTATACCTAGGTTTTTATTTCTATGCTCAACTGTGTCAGGCCAAACATCTCTAAGAATCGGTAGCTTTTAAGGTACACTAAGCAAAACTTGAAAAAGCAAATGCACTACAAAGGCATACTTGCTGCCAACATTTTCCCATATCACCTCCAACTATTTATAGGGCAAAAAAGAACAGAGAGGATGACTAGTGCTGGTCAATTTCATTTCAGTATTTAGGGAAATGAAATTTAAACATCACTTCTTACTGACAGACTGAAAAATTCTTATTAGCACAAAACCAAATGTTATCTAAAAGAACAGTATTTTAAAAATTCATGTTTATGAATGTTTATGAAGTTTCATGCTCATGAGGAGGAGCACATAAGTCAGTGACAAACAAAATAACTACAGATTAGTGTAAGTTTATGCAGGAAATAATCAAGACTCTAGGAGGGAAATTAACAGGCAGCCTATATTAAATTGGGTGATAAGGGAAAGCGATGGAGGATGTGTCATTTAAACAGACAAAAGAGGAGCTGGCATGATGAAAACATTTCAGATAGCTTGGACAGAAAGCACAAAGACAAAACAGAGACTGGCAGGTATGAGGAACCAACAAAAAGTGTGAATGGAGCATAGTGAGTTGAGGGGAAAGTAATTTGTGTATTTCCTCAGGGATATGATTTAACATGTGGTGTAACTGAGCTGATGGAATAATGAGGTACACTGTCAAAATATATTCACTATATTTATGGTGTAAATTCCTCACCTACAGGTCTCCAAATAATTTTACATTCACAGACATATTACTCCAATTTATATGAAAATTGCCAGGTTTATAGTATTGGTACACATTTGCTGACACAATGACTAGATTTCTTCAATCCTCAGTAATTCTCCGTAACATTCTCAGATAATTTTTAATATCACTTCCCCTCTTCTCAAACTTTATCAAATACATCTGATTTAATCAGAATATTTCTCTTGGTTACACTCCTGAAGTCTTCCCTTGAATTAGCAGTACGTCCAGTTGGAGGAAATAATGACTCTCTGGGAGCTGGCAGACCCTGAGGCTGCCAGCAATGTTGCTCTCCTCCCCATTTTAAAAGTGGGGCAGAAAATCAGATTTAGAAGCAGTGTATCAGAAACCACTGCACAAGTGAAAAAATACTCTACTGCTTTAACCTCTAGTCATATCCTTGGGGACTCTAAGGTAAGAGTTGGCTTAGGCAAATGCCACCATCAACATTAGATCACAGGCACTCATGTTCATAAGCACTAATGTGATACAATCCCTCTCTCCCAGAATGACTGCTGAGAGGCTGTCTTTTTTTTTTTAATTATTATTATTATTATTTAAAAAAAATTTAACCTTTTTAAATTTATTTTTGAGGCGGGGGGGGGGGGTGCGCAGAAAGAAAGGGAGACTCAGAATCCAAAGCAGGCTCCAGGTTCCAAGCTGTCAACACAGAGCCCAATGCAAGGCTTGAACCCACAAACCGAACTGTGAGATCATGACCTGAGCTGAAGACAGACACCTAACCTATTGAGCCACCAAGGCTCCCCCGGAAGGCTACCTGTTGGGGATGCTGTACAACTCTGCTCTTCTCATCATCAACTGAGTGGGGATAAGACATTATAAGAAAGAACATAAACTTTTTGAAGTATCAGGATTGTGAGAGCCCCATCCACAACCAAAGAACTTGTAGCAGATGGTGCCACCTGTGCCAGACTAACTGCAATTAAAATAATTTCCGTCCCAGAGTTGGTAGCAATGGAGGATGGGGGGATGACAGGCACAGAATGGGGGATGGGTGAGGAGAGACACTCTACTACACTATTACGGAGTGAAGAATTTATGCCAGTGGGCATAGCTAACTTCCTTCATATAGAGCAACTGTGGACATGCTCCAGTTACATCCATGCCTTAAAAAACGTAACAACTTTACAAGTCCAACACCAAATGCCACCGTACCAGCTTGTGCACAGTGTATGTATGAGACTGCTCACCCACTAGTACACAGCATACTCCAGGGACCTTGATCTAAAATGTATTCTAATGAGAATACATTACAAAGTACAAATTTTAATAACTTTCTTTTTCTGTCTTTTTTGCTATGGTTGCTTCAGCTTCTCTTCTGCTTTGAAATTTTAACACTAATTTTTAAATAAGCGGATTTTAAAATTATTTAACAAAGGATCTGGTAAATGAATACTAAAAGCTAAATTGTTACCTAATTTTCACAAATTCCTTATTTCTCAAGTCAAATGCAAAGCATAATAGCAATTACTGTCAATTTTTCCATTTACTTTGAAATCATGTTTTAATTATAAAGTTATTTCTATACATATTTCCTGCAGCGAATAAAGTGATACTTTCATATACTTACTTTAATGCAATAAGAGATGCAATTATCTTCATAGTGTTTGCAACATCTATGCCTTGGTCCATGCTTACATCTGAAATAAAACACAAATAACAAATTATGTGTTTATATATGTGTATGTGTATATATGTGCTTAAAACTCTGTAACCTAAAAAGGAGAAAATATTACCTACTTGTATTTAAAGGCATACATCTTTTGGTTTCTTGGGACATAAAAAAGCAAATATAACAGATTTTTTTTCTTTGCAGTTCAGCATTTGACACAGTGCATAAAATATGTGACTGAAGTCAAAATACTTAAATGTGGAACAGAAAAAACATTGGTAAATATTTGTGACTAAGTATGAAAAATATGTATATATTATCTCTACACTCTGCCAAATCTTTTGGAAGCTTTAAGTTGCTTACTGTAGAGCATAACAGTCATAAATCATCCATGAAGTCAGTACTTGAGCAAAAATCATAATGGAAAGTGCTCAGGTTACTGGAATGTATACTTAATTATATTTGAAAGAAAACATCTGGAAAAGAAACATGATAGAGTATTAGAATTCAAAATTCAATTTTAAAAATAAATATAGAAATAGATCATGTGGGAATTCAAAAGTAGGTTATTTGTGATTTGACTACAAACCACTTGGTCCTCTTGTGTTTAGGAAACCTTTCTGCAAGGAAGACTACTGTTCAAGACACTGAAGATGCTGACTCCAGGACTATATATACATTCACTCGAGGCTTAAAAAAGTAAGTAACATATCTAACATGGGTCTAGCTCTCCCCCTTTCCCTCTGAAGAATTCATGTTCCAAAATGAGTAGTCTTTATAACTCTTGCAGACTGCAGTTAATTATCTTCATGGTTATATTAACTTTCTTGTTGATAATAATTTGTAGAGTAATATTCTGGCTCAAGGTCTCTCTAATTCCATTTGCAAACTGATTAGCAAAACCTTTTGGGAAATCCAATTCTGAGCCACAGCTGGAGTATGCAGGCAGCCTTTCATACACAAGGATGACAGCAGTAGTTCCTACTGACCGTAGCCCTTATGTCATTAGAATGATGGGACATGTCTGGCCATGTGAAGTTGAGGGCTTAAAGCTGGAGCCTAAAAGAGGTAAATCAGAGAAGGGTGGCCGTATGTAAAGCATCACTCTTCATACTTCTAAGTGTCCTCTTCAAAGACATTCTTCAGCCAGTGCTACTGGAACTACACAGAGATTGTTAAACTCTCTTTGCTAGTGAAGTTAAATTCTGATAGCAGCTATGCTGTCATTTAATCTTTCCTTAGTCTGTTCTTAAAACTTCTCAAAACCTGGACTCCCCATCTCCTGTCTTATCTGCTCTGCTTATGCATTACCCTGCATCTGCTTTCACAGCAGTGGGTACTCTGACAAGTTCTACCACGACCTGATTAGCTCTGATACCCAAGGTATCATTCATCCACATAATACATTCTCTGCACTTCCCTCTGATTCTTGGTGAACATGATTTCCATGAATAGGGATTCCCTCTCTCTTTTCTCCACTTAGGTGATTCATAACTATTTTGAACTTACTTAAGAAGTTCACTACCAATCACACCACTGGATATTTACCCCAAAATTACAAAAACACTAATTCAAAGGGATATATGCACTTCTATGTTTATTGCAATGGTATTTACAGTAGCCAAATTATGGGAGCAGCCCAAGTGTTCATCGATGAATGGATAAAGAAGAGGCGGTATGTATGTATGTGCGTGCGTGTGTACACACACAGTGCAATATTATTTAGTCATATGATATTGCAAATATGTGGAATTTAGGAAACAAAAAAATAAATGAGCTAAGGGGAAAAAAAGGAAAAAGAGAAAAACCAAAAAACAGCCTCTTAACTATAGAGAACAAACTGATGGTTACTAGAGGGGAGGTGAATGGGGGAATGGGGGGATGGATGAAACAGGTAATGGGGGATTAAGGAGTATACTTATCATGATGAAAAAATCAAAACAAGAAAAAAAGATATACATAAAATTCTTTTAAAAAGTTCACTACCACAATTATTCCTGCCATCTGTTATCCCTTCCTTGCCTCTTACCTTCCGCATGTGGTGTATACTAAAATGAAGACAAACTCTTTAAATTCAGTAAAAATTCTGAGTATCTACACTGTGCTCACGTATGTGAGGCCACTCACGTGTTATTTCATTTAATGCATACAACATTCCTTAACAAAGATCATTAACCCAAGTTAACAGATGAGCACTTTAGGATCCAGAGTGGTTAAATCACTTGCCCAAAGTCACAAAGTCAGCAAGGGGTAAAATGAGAGTCTAACATAGGTCTTCTGATTCCCACTTCAGCTTCCTATAACCGATGTCTAACTTTCTATATTGGTTATTCATTCGATACTCTCTCAAATATCACTACCAAGATTATTTTTATTAACTAATGTTCTAATTTTAAATCATTAAATTAATTTTCTTCAATATCTATACTAGAAATACAAATATTTGTATGAAATTCAGACTTATTTGTATAATATACAAATAAAGTTATCTTATTCCATTTCTAAAGCCCTGAACATTTCCACTCTTGCAAAAACAAAAACAAAAACAAAACCCTTTACTTAAGGTTTGCTCCTTGTACCTATATCTTCTTGAATCTCTCCCAGAACTTTTCTTTCTCCTTCCTACACTTAGCATATTTGAATAGCACATATTAATCCGTTTCCTGAAGTTCCCCATTCCGGCCTCCTGCAACTCTGCCTAGTTAGACATAGAAAACTATTATAAGTTCATATAAATCTATTAAAAAGACCATATGATGGTTTATAGTCCAGACAAAAATAATAAATAACACTGACTTGCTATTATCTGCCTTTTATAAAACTCTATGCATTGTTTTTTGCAAAAAAATAATACATCATCACTGAAAAGAAAACAAAAACACTTTGACATGGTACAAATATAGAAAACGGTGACAAAGTGTGCTAAGTATCAAAATAAAGAACTTACACTGAATCCACAAGTTTCCTGATTAGAGCAATTACATTCATTCTTCTTGGCTTTTCCTCATGTTTCTCTGTCTTCTGTTCCACTTTTGCATATGCCGCTTCTGGTGAGTAAGAATGTGTGGGAATTTCTTCCTTCCCTACAATAAACCTAAAGAAAAGAGCACAATGTGAAGAATTTTTCACCTTAAAAAAAAAAAACAAAAAAAAAACCACCAAACTTGACTTTGTTAATATACAAATACATTTTGGATAGTACCTTATCATTTAAAATAAGATTTTTCAAAATTTACATAAAATCTTATCCTTTAGAAGTACAAGCTTTAAAAATCTGAATGCTTCGTAAATGTTGACAGCCATTTCTTTAATAATACAAATTCTTCCACTAAGTTTTTTCTTTTAATTCCAGGATAGTTAACATACAGTGTCATATTAGTTTCAGGTGTACAATATAGTGACTCCACAGTTCTGTACATTAGTCAGTGCTCATCATGGTAAGTGTACTCTTAATACCCTTCATGTGTTTCACCCAACGCCCGCAACCCACCTGCTCTATGGTAACCATCAGTTTGTTCTCTGCTTAGTTAAGTTTCTACTTCTTGGTTTGTCTCTCTTTCTTTCCTTTTTTTCCTTTGATCATTTGTTTTTGTTTCCCAAATTCCACATATGAGTAAAATAATACATACAGTATTTGTCTTTTTCTGACTGGCTACTTAGCATTAATTATACTCTCTAGCTCCATTCATGTTGTTGCAGATGGCAAAACTGCATTCTTTTTTGTGGCTAAATAATATTCCATTATATGTATATACCATTTCTCTATTCACTCATCAGTTGATGGACACTTGGGCTGCTCCCATAATTTGGCTAGTGTAAGTAATGCTGCAATACACATAAGGGTGCATGTATGCCTTTAAATTAATGTTTTTCCATTTTGGGGGGCAAATACTCAGTACTGTGATTACCAGATTGTAGGGTAGCTCCATTTTTTAACTTTCTCAGGAATCTCCATACTGATTGGAGGAATCTCCAATCTTCCAAAGTGGCTGTGCCAGTTTGCATTCCCACCAACAGTGCAAGAGGGTTCCTATTTGGAGAAATAGGAACACCAACACCTTTTGTTTCTTGTGTTATTGATTTTAGCCATTCTGACAAGTGTGAGGTGATATCTCATTGTGGTTCTGATTTGCATTCCCCTGATGATCAGTGATGTGAGCATCTTTTCATGTATCTGTTGACCATCTGGATGTCTTCTCTGGAGAAATGTCTGTTTATGTCGTCTGCTCAGTTTTTAAAAAATCTTTATTTATTTATATTGAGAGACAGCACGAGCGGGGAAGGGACAGAAAGAGAGGGGGAGAAAGAATCCTAAGCAGGCTCCACACTGTCAGCACAGAGCCTGATGCAGGGCTTGATCCCATGAACCTGAGATCACGACCTGAGTGGAAACCAAGAGTCGGACATTCAACCAGCTGAGCCACCCAGGTGCCTCTCATCTGCCCACTTTTTAATTGAATTATTTGTTTTTTGGGTGTTGAGTTATATAAGTTCTTTATATATTTTGGATACTAACCCTTTATCAAATATGTCACTTGCAAATATCTTCTCCCACTCTGTAAGCTTTTAGTTTTGTTCATTATTGCCTTTGCTGTACAGAAGCTTTTTATCTGATGTAGTCGCAACAGTTTTGTTTCTGTTTTTTCTTCCCTTGCCTTGGGAGACAAATCTAGAAAAAGTTGCTATGTCCGATGTCAGAGAAGTTACTGCCTGTGCTCTCTTCTAGGATTTTTATGGTTTCATGTCTCCCATTTAGGTCCTTTTGAATTTATCTTTGTGTATGGTGTAAGCCAGTGGTCTAGTTTCATTCTTTTGCATGCTGCTGTTTAGTTTTCTCAACACCATTTATGAAGAGGCTTTTTCCCATCGTGTATTCTTTCCTCCTTTCTCTTTTTTTAAAAAAAAAATTTTTTTTTTCAACGTTTATTTATTTTTGGGACAGAGAGAGACAGAGCATGAATGGGGGAGGGGCAGAGAGAGAGGGAGACACAGAATCGGAAACAGGCTCCAGGCTCTGAGCCATCAGCCCATAGCCTGATGCGGGGCTCAAACCCACGGACCGCGAGATCGTGACCTGGCTGAAGTCGGAAGCTTAACTGACTGCGCCACCCAGGCGCCCCTTTTTTTTGATTTTTTTTTTTTCAACTTTCCTCCTTTCTCAAACATTAATTGACCATATAAACATGGGCTTATTTCTGGGCTCCCTATTCTGTTCCAACGATCTATGTGCCTATTTTTGTGCCAGTACCATACTGTTTTGATTATTACAGCTTTGTAATAACTTGAAGTCTGGAATTGTGACACCTCCAGCTTTGCTTTGCTTTTTCAAGATTGTTTTGGCTATTTGGGGTCTTCTGTGGTTCCATGCAAATTTTAGGCCTATTTGTTATAGTTCTGTGAAAAATGTTGTTGATATTTTGATAGGGATTGCATTAAATCTGTAGACTGCTTTGGGTAGTAAGGACACTGTTACAATATTTATTCTTCTGACCCATAAGCATCAGTTTGTGTCATCCATTTGTTTGTGTCATCTTAAATATCTTTTACCAACATTTTATAGTTTTCTAAAAATATGTATTCTGTATCTTATAGAATACAAGTCTTTCACCTCCTTGGTTAAATTTATTCTTAGGTATTTTATTACCTTTGGTGCAACTGTAAATGGGATTGCTATCTTAACTTTTCTTTCTGTTGCTTCACTATTACTAAATAAAAATACCATGAATTTCTGTATGTTGATTTGGTACCCTACAACCTCACTGAATTCATTTATCAGTTCTGGTAGTTTTTAGATGGAGTCTTTAAGGTTTTTTTATATATAGTATCATGTTGCCTGCAAATAGTGAAAGTTTTATTTCTTCCTTACCAATTTGGATGCCTTTTCTTCCTTCTTCTTTTCTGATCACTATGGATAGGCATTCCAGTACTTGTTAAATATGAGCGGGAAGAGTGGACTCCCCCATCTTGTTCTTAACCTTAGGGGAAAAACGCTCTCCATTTTTTGCCACTGAGTGAAATGTTAGCTGTGGGTTTTCATATATGGCCTTTACTATGTTGCGGTGTTCCCTCTAATCCTATTTTTTGAATTTTTTTTTTTTTATCATGAATGGATCTTCTACTTTAGAAAATGCTTTTTCTGCATCTATTGAAATGATTTTTTATCCCTTCTTTTAATGATATGATGAATCTCACTGAACCACTCTTGCATCCCATGAAAAAATCCCACTGGATTGTGGTACATGATTTTTTTAAAATTTTTTAAATGTTTTTATTTATTTTTGAAGGAGAGAGAGAGAGACAGAGCATGAGCAGGGTTGGAACAGAGAGAGAGGGAGACACAGAATTCAAAGCAGGCTCCAGGCTCTAAGCTGTCAGCACAGAGCCCGATGCGGGGCTCAAACTCACGAACTGTGAGATCATGACCTGAACTGAAGTCAGACACTTAACCGACTGAGCCATCCAGGTGCCCCTGTGGTGCGTGATTTTTTAAAGTATCATTGGGTTTGGTTTGCTAATATTTAGTTGAGGATGTTTGCATCTATGTTCAACAGAGATATTGGCCTGTAGTTCTCTTTTTTTGTAGTGTCTTTATCTAGTTTTGGTATCAGAGTAATGCTGGCTTCGTAGAATGAATTAAGAAGTTTTCCTTCCTCTTCTATTTTTTGGAATAGTTTGAGAAGAATAGGTATTAACTCTTCTTTAAATGTTTGGTAGAATCCACCTGTGAAGGCATCTAGTCCTGGACTTTTGTTTGCTGGGAGTTTTTTGATTAGTGATTCAATTTCATTGCTGGTAATCGATCTGTTCAAATTTTCTAGTTCTTCTTGATTCAATTTTGGCAGTTTATATGTTCTAGGAATTTATCCATTTCCTCTAGGTTGTCCCATTTGTTAGCATATAATTTTTCACAATATTCTCTTACAATCTTTTGTATTCCGGTGGTGTTGGTTGTTATCTCTCCCAGTTCGAATTCTATTGTTTTGAGTCCTCTTTCTCTCTCTCTCTCTCTCTGTCTCTCTCTCTCTCTCTCTCTCTTTTTAATGAATCTAGCTAAAGGTTTATCAATTTTTTGATCTTTTCAAAGAACTGGCTCCTGGTTTCACTGAGCTGTTTTGTTGGTATTTTTAGTTTTTATTTTGTTTTTTTCTGCTCTAATCTTTATTATTTCCTTCCCTCTGCTGGTTTTGGGTTTTGTTTGTTGTTCTTTCTTTAGTTCCTTTAGATGTGTGGTTAGGTTACTTGGGATTTTTCTTGCTTCTGAGGTAGGCCTGTATTGCTATAAACTTCCCTCTTAGAACAGTTTTTGTTATATCCCAGATTTTGGACTGTTGTGTTTGCATTTTCATTTGTCTTCAAGTACTTTTTAATTTCATCTTTGATTTCTTGGTTGACCCATTCATTGTTTAATAGCATGTTATTTAACCTCCATGTATTTATGTGCTTTCCATGTTTTTTTCTTGTGGTTGATTTCTAGTTTCATAGTGTTGTGCTCAGAAAAGATGTATTTTATTACTTCAATCTTTCTGAATTTGTTGAGAATTGTTTTGTGGCCTAAAACGGGATCTATTCTGGACAACGTTCCATGTGCACTTGAAAAGAATCTGTATTCTGCTGTCTTAGGATGGAATGTTCTGAATATATCTGTTAGGTCCATCTGGTCTGATATTCAAAGCCATAGTTCCTTGGAGATTTTCTGCTTTTTATGATTGATTACACATTGTCTTTCTTTGTCCCTAATTTCATGAAGCCTTTGTTTTAAAGTCTATTTTGTCCAATATAAGTTGGTACTCAGGATTTCTTTTCACTTCCATTTGCATGATAAATGGTTCTCCATCCCTTCACTTTCAGTCTGCATGTGTCTTTAGGTCTGAAATGAGTTTCTTATAGGCAGCATATAGATGGGTCTTGCTTTTTTATCCATTCTGTCATCCATGTCTTTTGACTGGAATTTTAATCCATTTACATTCAAAGTAATTATTGGTATGCATGTATTTATTGCCATTTTGTTACATGTTTTATGGTTGTTTTGTAGTTCCTCTCTGTTCCTTTCTTCTCTTGCTCTCTTCTTTCATGATTTCTTGGCTTTTTATAGAA